TGAGGGTATGAAATCCCTAACCAGGGGGATGCCCGTTACCGATGGTTAGAGATACTGAGTGTCATAAACAGTGGCGTTCGTGCATCATCTCAATGTCTTTGCAACCTTGGACCACTGAAATTCTACACTTTTTAACCTCTACTCTCAACTTTCGTCTTTTTGCCATTCTTCATCGAAATGGACAGCCAAGAGACAGCAACCAAAACCGTCGCATGAAAGTGCGTGATTAATGGTTGTGCAAACTGAAGACTGAAACTGTATTTGAACGTTCTTCACACTCCCCATATTCTGTTCATTTCGCTGATCTTAACATACCCAGCTATTGATCGCAAGCTGGAAGTTCACTCCTTTCAGCAAAGAAGACTGCACCACTTCTGTTCTTATCTGTCGGTGAAAGGAGCTCTTTTCAACAATGGGTTCACCCTATACCTCCTTACTGTTCTCCTGTGAATTTCCCGGGTGCTCTGAAGGCTGATTTCAAATTGCCAGGGCTTGGCCTCTCAATGATTGTCTGTGGTTCCTAAGTTCTTTACCTATTCTGATTGACAATATCCGTGATGCTCAAATTGATGCGTGCTTGAAGTTTGCTGACTACATCCTATCCGACTGCACTCAATCTTGACACATTGACCTGTGTGTATGCAAATCCCGTCCTACACTCGTTCTAAATACAAAATCACCCCATCTCGTATATCTGCCTACAGAAACTCCTAGGTACTATAAGTGACCCGCCTACTGACCGATAAGGAGTGTTTGTTCTGAGCTTCCTAGAGCATTTAGTAGTTTATTCACACCTTAGTCACACATTTTGCCAGTATTGTGAGAGTGGTCTCTTTTCCGCTGAAAGCTCATATAGAACTCGCTATGGCTTCAATACAAAACAATACAATGTACAAAAACATTTGCCAATTTAATGTAATTCGTTGAGAGTTGAATGCATATATCTATACGTACATATACAATCAAATCCTCACATCAAACGCCATGTCCATTCCCTTTAATATAACTGCACTAACCAGAATTTAAAGTTATCGAGAAAGAGCTTGTTTACTATTTCGTGTTTCTCGAAGGAAACTCTACCCCAATGTAACTTGCTCACTGGGCTATGGAGGGCCTAGAGCCAACCCACAAGTACAATAAATCATGCCTACAATCCCGCTTAGGCATGTTATTCGATTTGTAAATCTATCCTGATTAGCATCGCTTCCTTGCCCGACCAATCAAGGTCAATTATGACCGTGTTCGTTCAAAGCTCACCCGATTAACGGTCGAGGACCATCGAAAATTTCAACCACGCTCGTTAACTCACCCCAAAAGTACTTTTATTTGTATATGGATGGTGGTAGTGCAGTGGTTTGGTCGGTGTCACCGGCATGCTACGTATAGCGGTTATTAAACCGACAGCTTTGCAACGGCAGTTTACTTTTTTACCTTTTGTTTTTCCCACAGTTTCCTGATAGATCCATTCAAGCGGCACAAATGCACCAGTCACGGATCAAAAGCAACTTCACCCTAGGCTGGTGACTAGCATCAGGACAAGTTCAGTTTCTAACCAGTCCTGTATAATTGAGGACTATTAGGACATGGTTACGCAACCATGACACACTTGTCAGAACCATTACGGTTGTGATATCAAGCAGTGATTTAGCCTATCGATCAGGTAGATTAATTACAAAAGCTAGACTACCGTTAATCTGCTCCCTCCAACAAAAGGACCCTTCTTCTCTGTCAGGCACAATCAAGTGTACGTCGATATATAGCACGTATTGCCATTATTTGGCGATATCGATCTTCTAGAGGAAGTTTCTTCATTAGATATAGCGACTTGGACACTTCCTGAATTAAGTTCTGCTTTAACTATTATCGTGCTTTTAATGAGCTCGAATGAGCTCAAATAGCCTCTCCTGAGGAAGCCCTACTCACTGCCTTCTCGCGGCGGAAGTGTTTTCCCACCAAAGTGAGAGGACAAAAAGCCGATATCCGGGTTGGTGGACCACTGGCAGTTCACCTAGGGGAGTTGGCCAAAAACCCTGATTCCAAACCAACCATGAGGAGACGTACGAACCACACCCACACCTTTTTGGTTGTGGCAGTGGTCACCGGCTCGATTGGGCACTGAGGTGTATTGGGCACCTTGGACGTCTGACCCCGTCCGAAGGGCGTATGATCCGATGAACTGGACACCGGCTCCCAATGGATTACGGTTTTCGCACACCGCCCCGCTGCCTTGCGGGTCAGGCTTTGGCTAGCCGAAGGCTCCGATTGTGGATTTCTCAAGAAAATTCACCTGCCTTGGCCTGGGCTACCTGGCAGTATTCAGCCCACAAGCTAGTCATAGAACACTTTCCTTTTTATAAAGATTATTGTACCATGATTTGTTTGGCACACAGACTGTCTTCAGACAAGTGTGAAATATAATGAGCTCGAAAAGACTGCACCGACACGCTTTCCTTGCATTGATCAGATCTACTTTTAGGTTTCCGCCACCGTTGCTTAAATAGCCTAGGCCCAGCCAAACTTACTTCCAACATTTTAGAAGTTTCAGAATATATCGTTTTTACAATCCCAATCCTTGGATATTCAGAACGTGAGCAAACATTAGTGACAGGTTCTGACGAACATCAGCAACCGCCTAGCCATTAAATATGGGTCCCGTGGTGGGGTTTGGAGCTTCCCCCACCACTCAACTAAGCGGTTGGCAGATTTCTTGTTGCCCAGTTCAAACCATGTCCAAGGACCGAAATAATAGGGTGATGTATCGCCTACTGTTGATGCGATAACAGCTGTCAGTTAATTTCCTACGATAGACTAGTTCCTCCCAATTCGTGCCTCAAGATAAAACACCTGAACCATGTTCCACCGAGCGGTAGGTCACAAGGTGATTTTATCTTTGCGAACAAACGGTGGTAAAATGTTTATTTGCGTAGTCTTTTCGTTCGCATTCGATGGGCAACTGAATAACTACAACTACGACATGTATTCATTGTGGTGGGAAACCACATCTGGTGTGAGGAACTATTGGTTTAAACGGAATTACTTATGTGTGCTACGGAATAAAACATGTCCTAATGACTTACTTTCCAAAACGAATCTACGACGCAAGCAGAACCATCTAAAGCAGACTGAACCGCGCACGAACCGAATTTCGCTAGGTTGGACGCCATCGGACCGAATGACCGAGTGCGCCTTCCACGGGTCAGGTCCACATGGCATTCGTCGGTAAAGGAGTTTAACCAATCAAAACGCAGCGTTGCCTGCATGATAGACCTCGTTCATAATTTTGATTGGCCCGTTTCTCAAGGTCAACTGTGCGCACATAGTAGCTTATGCTTAAACCCCGGCATCACATGCGTAGAATGTTGCCGTCGCCGTCCCACCAGCGAGGCGAAAAATGCGCTCGTTACTCAAACGTAGTTTATTGAAATGAACGGTAAAATTCATTTGAGAAGTACAATTAGAAGCAGTAAAATATGTACAATCATAGCGAACTGATTAAAATAACATTGTCGTGTGACATACAGTAACACATTTTTGAGACGAAAAAGTATAAACTGAGGAGTCCATCAGTGACGCAACCAGGCGCATAAGCGGACACCGATACGGAAAGTCCGTTTGCTAAACTGACATTGCACAAAACCATTTTGGTGATGTGAAAATTTATGGGATTCTTTCCATTTTCCTCAGAGAGTCCTCAATCATATATTTTCTTCGCCATCTTTTGGAATTGCTCCCATGCAATATTTTATAAGTCGTTGCTGACCTCTGAAGTAATGTCGCGGATTCTGATGGACCATGGAACATTTGCGCCCAAGTGCATGAGGCCATTGAAGCAGAATGGTTGTTCAAGTTCTCAACAAGTCCGGTTAAGACTGTGAATTGAACAGTACTGGATGGTTAAAGTTCGTAACTTCAAAGTAGGAGCAAGGCAAAATCACTTTTGTACTATTACCGCTTGGGCTACCTAAGCGTGCACTAGGAAATTCGACGAAACAAATGCACTCAAAAAACAAATAAAAAAGTTTAGGGTAGGAACTTCATGAGCGTTCAACTCAACAGTTCAAAAACTCAAAAAGCGCGTCCGAAGTACAAATGAAAGAAGCATAAAATTCGCGCAACACAATGAAACAAACCGAGGGACTAAGTCCGAGTTAATTGGACGAAAAATGAGCATGAATAATAAAGAAGCGTGTACAACATCTCTGACACAAATCTCCAAAACACGAAAATGAGGTTGGATTGAGAAACCGTGCTTTTATTGATGGCCTCTTCATTACTCATGCACGACAGCTAACCTTTCATCTCATAGCCATCATGATTTTGTCCAGCATGCGTTGTGGTCGTCATTAGAGAATTATTACCATCCGGACTCAAAACCGAACTTTTACCCGGACAACAGGCCTTCTTGTGGACGGTTCGAGATTTGTCTTGCACATTTGACGGAGTTGTCAAATTACTGGTTGGGGATTTGATTGATAATGCACCGGAAAACGAATCTGCCAATTCAGTTGGGCCTTCAGATGCGTTTGAGGAAGTCATTAATTTAAAATTGCGTCCCGATCCGGAATTCTCGATATTTGCACGAGGCGTGTTCAAAGGCACTGGTGCTCCCGTTGTAGGAAATTGAACTAGCAACGACTTGTTCGGTTGTGGACTGCCAGTGCCAAATCCAGGTTGTGATGAAGCTGACCGGAAGTTAAGTGAGGGAGATAATTTTTGAGCATGGGTCGAATTACTTGGATGTGTCTGAGATATCGAGTTCTGCGTAGACAGATTACTGTTGGATGAAGCGAATCCCGGTGGAGTTCCACCCACGTAGCGCGTATTTAGACCGGATGTGGTCTCGTTTGACAACTGATTCTGTGTGGTCGAAGGCACGTTGTGTAAACTGTTCAATCCGGCTAGAGCGCTGTGCGGCAGCGGACTAACAGCAGGTGGTGGTGTGTTGGACGAAGACGGTCTAATTTTCGCATTAGGTGTAGTTTTAAACGAAACCTGCAGTACACGATTGCCTAAAGCAAATCCGTTCAATGAATGAATGGCAAGCAACGCTTCCTCATAGTTACTCATTGTGACAAATCCAAAACCTTTGCACTTATTGGTAGCCGGATCGCGAATAATCTTCACCGTTTGAACAGCACCAAATGGACCAAATAATTGCCACAAATTAGCTTCTTCCGTTTCCGGGGCCAAATTGTAAACAAAGATACACCAGCCGGTTGCAGTCAATGCGCCGGAGCTGGCCGCAACAGCCGGGGCTAATAGAGGATTTACCACTGCAGCGGCACTGGCCATTGCCGGAAGGAAATCAGCCGGCGTAGAACCGGGCGAACTCGCACCACCGGCCAAAGCACCGGAGTATTTCAACCTGTTTGAGATGGAGGCTATCTGCTGAAGTGGGTTGAGTAGACCGGCTGCAGCTACCGCCGTTGCGGCTGCTGTGGCCGCGGTCCGCGAAGGTGGCGTCACCACTGACGCTGCCACGGACTGGAGTTGAGCAGCTTGCTTCAATAATGCCAAACTAAGACTGTCATGTCGAATAGAGTTTGGTGAATTTGCAAATTTCACAGTGATCGGTTCACTCGGTGTCCCATTTGGATGTTCCGGAGGGGCTTGATATCCATTCAAACGTCGAATCGCTAATTCCGCCTCGTGTCTCTGATCGAATCGAATGAAAGCCACACCACGTGAAAGTCCAGTCTTATTGTCGTACAAAATTCTAGCGGTGATAATACGACCACATTGATTGAAAAGTTCTTCCAATTCGGCTTGGGTCATCTTTTTCGGTAAGCCACAGATATATAAATTTGCACCTTTAATCGATTCCGAACTAGGTCGAGCCAATGACACCTTGATTGTTTTATTTTGCAAACGAAGACCGTTTAATGTACGAATCGCCTTCTCTGCGTCTGTCGCTCTGATATATTTCACGAACGCGTAGCCTAAAGATTCCCCGGTTGCCTTTTCCCGAACCAGTTTGCAGCTCTCAACCTCCCCGATACTGGAAAATAAAGCTTTGACTTCCTCTTGAGACATGAAAGGGGGCAAATAATTCACAATCAAATTGGTTTTATTGGCCGTATCGGTGGGTGTATATGTTTGACTGGTCAAATTGTTCTCCGTTGGTGATCCGGTTCTCAGATTGCTCGGACTGGACCACTCGTTTGTGTTCGGTGGACTAGCTGCCCGAAGCAAATAGTTATTAGTTCCCCTTGTCGATCGTGACTCGTATGCATTTGGATAGGTCACAGGAGTTTTGCGAGTGTTCAGCAAATTTCGTCGATCATAAGTTCCATTGCACTGACCCATCGGATACGATTCACCCGGGGCGTACGGGTTTTGTAGATCATGTGTGTAAGCTTCCTCTGTCGGTGCATATCCGTAAACTTCATCCATGGCTCCAACCTCAGTGGATTTCACGAGAGCACTCCCGCAAGCGTTCTGTGCCGTATACAAATCACCGGTTTTGTGGTTTGTTCCGGCAAATGAGGCACCGCCGCTAGCCATGAGTGGGTAATTCATAGGGTTTACTGTTTTCTCATTCAGAGAATCTTTTCGAAATCTGTTTGGTTAAAGAGAAAGTGTATGCAAGAACATCGTGAATTTGATACGGTCCCATGAACCAATATTCGTTTTTAACTGCTTTAAGGGAAACGTATATTGGTCGGATTAAGCAAAAATCAGTCAAATAATGGAAATCATTTCTCTCATTTTGTATGGAAAAGAATATTTGCAACAGTCTGGGTGATATTGCTGATTCGTTGAACAGAAAACAGAGCGTGATAGTCAGTGTTTCACCAATGTATCACGCAAAATAAAACATATGTTCGAATTGTTGTAACTTCGGTGTAATTTATTTAACCTGATGAAAAATGGTGTTGCGTTTGATGATCCTAGAACCAGAAAAGTTCACCAATGCCATTGGTAACCCAGTATTGCAAATTAATAGCACTCCAGTATAATATGATGCATTCCTATAGTTACACTAGTGTTGTGAGGTCAATTATTTTGCGTGCTTGTCGAAATTATTTCAGGTGAGTAATGGAGGATTTGGTTTAATTTCAAAGGTGAATTCATTGTGAACTGAAAAGCTAGGAAGCCTTGGACAGCTGTTTCGACCTGGTTGGGTCTCATCAGCAGTGCGAATCTATCGACCCAACTGGGAATCGAACCCGGGACCTCATGGGCAGCACGCAAGCGTGCCACCCACTCGGCCACCGGGCAGCTGATCAGACCGTTTTTCATTTTCACGATGTAGCACAACTCATCTTTGTGAGCTTGTTGCGGGCCACAGGCCCTGCTCATCTCAGCCTTAGTCTCCGGGTTATGACTCCGTTGGAAACATTCACAACGTGACTACCTACTTGGACTGTTTCAGATGGAATGATTCGGTCCACTAAACCCGATGTACCCATCCTCAGGCCAGCACTAGCCTATAAGAATTACAACGCTATAGTGTACTGTTAACCACCGTTCTACGAACAAACATGGTGCCAACGCGACAACAACAGTAGAAGGAAAAAGAAAAAAGGGGTGGAAACAACAGAGAGGGAGGGAGTAGTGGATAAACCTTATACTCTCTAATGATTGGCGCATTTACTGCGCAGGGCGTTTTCTGAAGACGGGGAAAACAATCGATCCCCCTCCCCACGAGGAGGGGACCTGCTCAGTGTGCCAAACTTTAGA